CTCTCTCTCTCTCTCTCTCTCTCTCTCTCTCTCTCTCTCTCTCTCTCTCTCTCTCTCTCTCTCTCTCTCTCTCTCTCTCTCTCTCTCTCTTTGTACGTGTCTTTCTGCTGCCGTCCTCTTTTTCTCTTTCTGTCTGTCTGTCTGTCTGTCTGTCTGTCTGTCTTTTGCTGTCTCTTTTAGCCCTTTGTTCTCTTCTTTCTCTCTCCTGCTCTCTCCGTTTTTTCTCTCTGTTTCACTTTCCCTGTCTCCTTTTCGTCCTTTTCTCGTTCTATCTTTTCCTGCTCTCTCTCTGTGTTTGGCTTTGTCACTTCGTCTCTCTTTATGTCCCTTTCTCTCTCACTCTCTCTTTCTTTGTCCTCTCTCTCTCTCTCTCCCCGTTCCATTTCTCTCCTCTTTTGCTCATCTTTTGTCTCTGTAGTTTACCCCCGAGTCTTTGGCACCCTGCTGCAGGTTTCTTGTTGGTTTCTAATGCATGATACAGTCGCATCTCACGTTTTCTGTTTCATGCTGAAATATGCAAAGCACATACCAAACACGAGTCGACCGCAAGAATTGAACACGCGACCTCCGAGTTGGGAGGCAAACGCTCAACCAATAGGCTCTATGCGCTTCATGCATTTGGACGCTGTGTGGAACCGACTCATTCAAAATGTTGGACTCGTCGGAATGCATGCGGTCCAGAAAGCATCCAAATGCATGTAGTATTGTGTAGTGGAGAGAGGCCCTATGTAATTACCTATGTAATTATCAATATCGTATCGTCCAAGTGTGATCAATGGCCATGATAGGTACCTTGATGTAACAACGATTTCGTCAAAATGGAGATTTGAAACCGACTAAATTGGCCCGACTTTTTGAGGTCCAAATTTTTAGTTTTGGAGGGTGTGGTGTTCCCCCAGGAGTCCATCTACGTCCAGGTACGTCCAGGCGGTATGGCGTTTTAAGAACGCCATACCCCCTGGACTCCAGCTAAGTCCACATACATCCAGGGTGTAGGGCTTTTTAAGAACGCCGTACCCTCAAAAGCTAAAAAAATTGACCTCGATCAGGCCAATTTAGTCGGTTTCAATTTCGTTCAAATTTTTTTTAAGAAGTCCATTTTGATGAAATCGCTGTTATGTGGACTCCACATGTAATTATCAATTTAATTATCGTAATTAAATTATTAAAGTGAACACCACTAGACATGTAGAAAGCGTCCACATGTCTAGTGTTGTGTTCGCTGCGTGCAAGATAAGCATCTTCTCTGTGGCCATGACAGTACCTCTTGATGGTGTAAATTTTTTCACCTGCCGTGTGATCTCATATCCATCTCATGGCAGCTTCATCCTTGGGCTTTCTGGAAGAGAGGGTACAACCCAATGGCGTCCATAGGCTTTGTTTTTTCTGCCTTGCCAACCTGGCCGTCCTATTCCATTTTTGACGGGTAATTGAATTGGATGGGCTTAAATAGATTAAGCCTTTTTCAAAAAAAGAATGAAAAAAAGAAGTTTTTTTTTTTTTTTCCTGGGAAGTCAATTCCCTATCGTGGTCCGTGAAATCGCCATGGGAAGTAAACACGAGCGCTACCCACGTGGCATGCAACGTGGGTATCACGTGGGTAGCACTTGTGTTTACTTCCCACACCACCACACGGACGCAGAGGTAGCGCACGTGGGCAGCGCACGTGGGCAGCGCACGTGGGCAAGCACGTGTCTGCGTCTGCGTCTGTGTGGTGTTGTGTGTGGAGTTGGACGCTACAGCCTTGCAGGGTTGGGGTGGATATCACGGCCGGTAGTTGGTTCCACTTTTAAACACCGTGTCCCGGCTGTATTGGTTATGATGCTTGGCTCTTGAGGCCGAGGTCGCCGGTCTGAATCTGTGCTTGCCCTGGAGGAGGCCTTTGTCCCAGAGGTACGAACCTATACACTACACAACGAAACAGAGAGTGAGAAGCTGTCTGTGAAAAGAAAAGAAAAAAAACAGCATGAAAACAGCTTCGATGGTAGATCGACATTCCTTTCTTCCTTTTTAACCCACACGGCACCCTCCGAATACCTTCACACGTTTTGAATTGTTTTGATGGCCGACCATTGATTATGATACGTTGTTTTGATGGCCGACCATTGATTATGATACGGTCTTTGGAAAACAGCAGTAAGTGTGATGACGCATTCTGTTGTCGATCAAGGCAGCAGATTAATGGATCCACTTAGTACTCGGCAATAATCCAATTAGAAATTTGATAAAAAGGGCGAAGAAGGCGAGAGCATTAAAAGGGGGCACCCGTGCTAGCTCATCATAGTCAGTGGAATGGGTTACTCGAGATCAACCACATAGACGGCCCTATAACCCCCTCTCTCTCTTCTCTCTCTCTCTCTCTCTCTCTCTCTCTCTCTCTCTCTCTCTCTCTCTCTCTCTCTCTCTCTCTCTCTCTCTCTCTC